TGTTACCTAGGAAGGGACGATGTCTTGGGCCCGCCTTTAGTAAGCTTTTTTTGGTTGGTTGGCAGAACTGCGAGACAGCTGGCGTGATATTTGTACCAATTCCTGTACAGGTGCATACTTCTGTGGTGTGGTAAAACATGACGGTAATTCCGACGACGGTAAAACCGGCTCTCACACTGTGCGATAGGGCGACAGGCATGATGGCTGTCTTCTGGAAAGTTGCTACGTGTGTCCTGGTAGAAACTGATTGAAGTTTCAAACGAAACTGTTTACATACGTATTCAGAGAGGCTAGTTTATCTAAAAAGTATTTAAAGAATCCATTACCTACCGCAAAGCCAACACAAGACTTCACGATTACAAAGATAAACTCTTTTGTCTCTGATTCAAGAATCTGCAGAGTTAGTGAATGTTACGGAAGGTGGTAAATATAGTTACCATATTGTTTTAAGTGGTCAAACGAGTATAAAAGAGAGATAGGAGAAAATGTTACGACGTTGATCGAAAGCTGTTTAGCCCAACAGCGAAAATAAAACGAAACAAGAAACTCTGTAAAATGTTGATGCGTGCGTGGAAGTTTTTCGTTCAGGCCTGGCAGTTCATTTCCTCCCAGTGAGCTGCCACTGACAGGTACAATTTAATGAACGCAGATTCAGACGGCCGATGTGCGCAACAGAGCGTGGACATCATCAACGTTTACTCTCCCATTCAATGCTCCACGCTTGGAGCAGCGTAGCGCCATTTTGGACTGCCCCGGTGGCTACTATCTGGTATCGAACCCTGAAACTCTGGTGGAAAACAAAACTACTTCGTTCGTAAGTCACTCAACGACTCTGTTTATAGAAACAAAACACAAACAAATTTTATTTAGAATTAAATTGGTTGAGAGGATGATTAAATACAGGGCGTTTGAAAATAACGACGAAGAAAGTAAAGGGTGTTCAAAAAGTGTGTAACGAAACGTAAAAAAAAAAGACGTTGACCGTGATTCCAACGTCGTGTAAACTTTAAGGTGGATGCCAAAGTTTCAGGGGAACGTACTGCCTCCATCTTCAACTTCAGAGCTGTCATTATTGTTGCGATGAGGTTAGACCATGCCTTTGGAAACTTTGAAGGGAATAGACCACTCGGAACACCTACTCGTAGATGGGAGAATAATTTTAGTATAGGTCTTAGGGAAATAAGATTGGAAGTTGCGGAGTGGATTTGGCTGGCTTAGGGTAGGGATGATGGCGAAATCTTCGCTTAGGACCTGGTATGAACTGTCTCAATTTCCGTCTTTATTATAAAAGAATGAATAAGTGGAGTCCCATAAACCACGAAAGCGCCTCCTCTGTGTTTCGGAAAAACCAGTCACTCTTCTGACGACCAGTTTCCTGGCTCAGAACTCAGCTCAGTTCGGTATTTTCGAAACTGTGAAAGCGTCTGTGGTCTGTTAGAGCGCTGAGTAGCTGCAGTTTACGCGGGTTAAACTTGCCATTTTATTATTTTTCAAAATGTAATCGACGCCAAACTCCCGAGAATGCGGTGTAAAGCTTTCTGTAAGATTTTAATGGCAAATTAAATCTCAATCGTCTTGTATTGAAGTTATCAAAGCCTACAAATGCGGTTGTATTAGAGGTGCATTTTAAATGGAACATCCTGTGTTATTCAGGGCTTTGTCTCTTTGAAATGCTCCATGAATATGCATGTACTATTTACACCGAATGTTACAGAAGACGTTCTTCATTTATAAATATTAATGACTTCTGGTAAACAATGAACGAAAAATTCGTTTTCTTAGTTCTGCGACAATTAAAATGTTTCGAAGCCGTTAACAACAAACTGTCTGTTATCCAACAACAAGTTCATCTGTTTCTGGTAATTACGCGCTCTTACGTATGGACAGGGTTTTATATGCCATGAAGTGCGTGGAATGAAGTCAATATCTGCGGGTTTGAAGACCGGGGTTCGATTTTCGACGGGGATAAGAATTTGTTCTGATCATCTGGGGCCAAACGCAGGAGCAAATCGGCCGAAGCGTAAAGCTGATTATTCACAGGAATGCAATCAAGATTCAAGAACCAAATATGTGGTCTCACTTGAAGCAACCTGCTGAATTAGAGGATTTCTGTAACCAGGCAACCGAATGATGACGTCAGATGGCTTTATGTCTGATGCCCGCTAGCAACGCCCGGACCGCAGATCGCAGTGTCAGCGAACGAGTTAACTTGGCAGAGAAATAAACCGGATCTTGAATAAACACAATCCAAACTTTCAACCCAATTGCGGCCCTCGACCTCCGGTTGGTTCAAGGACCTAATTTATTCTGACGCAGGCAGGTTCTCTCAACGGGTTGGCGCTCCGACGGGCGAGCACGAGTCGGTGACTGGGACCTCCAAACTGGTTTGACTGCTGCCGCCGTAATCTTCTTAAGCCGAAACTTATCTCATATTTAAGAATTCGGACCGTACCGCAAAGAAAACACAACACCTCACCGTTAGAAAGATCAAATGGTTGTCGCCGTTTAAGTAAGTAACCGCTGTTTATTGTGACAGTCACAGGAAAAACTTAAATAAAAAATGGCAGAGTTACTGGTTGTTAAAGCAGGTGGTACACATAGTTACCACTGGGCTTCAAAGGGTTAAATACCATCTCCCATTGAGTGGTTCCCACTTCAGCTACAGCCTCTGGTGGATGACCTGTGTAGTCACGCAATGCACAAGGAACATGCAGGACACGAAGTGGCCGCGTGGATGCTTTCAGAAAGCCGCCTCATTAGTCTCTTTGTTGGAGGACAAAGAGATGACGCATCAGCGCCATGTTTGTGACACACGAACGAGTAAACAGGATGGTCTGGAGCACAATTGTGCCCCAGACGTCATAAGTGACCACAGCGTTTAAACGTATGGTAAATTCTTTTGTATTTCCGTTTCGCGGCAAATCTTCACAGAGGGGGCCATGAAAAGGTAGCAGGAGTCCACTGACTAGCAGTTGGATGCTGAGGCATTTGTATCTCTGCTTACGAGACACACTCAGCTGGTTAACGCTGTTTAAGGAAACAA